CTTTTTTTTTATAAAACTCCCCGCAGAGTAAGTTTCTGACTTACTAAGACCAGAACAAAAAATAATTTCGTTTTCTACTGAACTGTCATATCCGAATTTACTGATCTAGTCATTAGTTGTAATAAAACCAACTAAAAGAATATTCTTATTTTTATAAACATTCTCCATAAAAAAAATTATGATTTTGTCATTTATTTAATTTAATTTTCGATCATGAAATTTGCTGGTCTGATCATTGAGCTAAGAAAAGATCTAAACGAACACATATTACCTCAAGCCAAATAACCATTCTGCACTATTCTGTAAACATTTTAAGGTCAACTATAAATACAACAATTTGCAAATTATTTCGAAAATAGTTTCCTAAATCTAATGAATCATTAATTTTATTTATTTATATATACCAAATGCCACTTGCAATACGCTTTTTACTTCTTAATTCTTTAATAATTTTTTTTTATTTTTTATGATGACGACACTTTTTGTTGTCACAAAAAAAAAATAAATAAATAAAATAAACATAAATGTATTGTATGAAAAAAATAAATAAATAAAATTAAACAAAAAAAAAAAATAATAATAAAAATTAATGACAAAGTAAAAACCAGAAATATTTGACCGGTAATTTCGCATGTTTTGCATTTTTTCACTGCTGTCAATAAAAGAGAAAAAGTTGTTAATAGTTTCGAGTTTCGAATATCGAAAAAAATGTTCAGAAAAAAAAAACATTAAAGAGAAGTTTACTTTGTTGGCCTTTTTTTGGTTATTAGCGTTATTAACTATGTTAGTGTTGCCAAGTTTAACAAGCAGAAGTAGTAAATAACAAAATTGACAGAAAAAAATTAATTTATTTTTATTATAAAACAACAAAAACCAAATAGCAACAAGAAACAGTGTTGAAAGAGTCACTGACATAAGGCGAAATATTATTATTTATTTTTTTTTTTTTGTGTTTTTTAAATAATATTTTTAACCACTCTTTGAAACATGTTTATTTTTAAAATAAGCCGGTATATACATTTGTGCAATTTTAATTTAATTTTTTTTTCATGAAATAATTTTTGATAATAGCAAAAACAAATTTAGTAAAGTAAAACTTAAGGTTATCTTACAATACGCATGCAGCAGTACACAAACTAATTATAAATATATAAGTTAAATAAATATGTAAATAAAAAATAATATTTTAGAATATAATTTTTGAAATATATACAGAGTATTATTATACGTATTATACATTTTTTCACATAACTCTACATCACTTATATATTATTTTGTTGCTTAGCTGTTTAATGTTAACTGACACTGACAAAGTATTATGTTATGTTATGTTATGTTATGTTATGTTATGTTAAATTTGCTGTTATCACAATACGTGCTGTTATTTGTTATTCCGTGCACTGTACACAGACTTAATTTGTTATTGTTACTGTTTGCTGTTTTAGATTTAATCCAAACACAAAAAAAAAAATAAAGCCAATTAGAATTATATACTTTTTACAACTACTTAAAATTTTAATTGAAAGAAAATTAAATTTAATTACCTGCAAAGATAAATTTTTGGCTAAGTTTTGTTCACCTTTGCTTGTTATAATTTTTTTTTTTTGTTTTTTAATTTTAATGAAAATTTTCTAGCGGAAGTTACCGCTGCTTTTGCTAAATATTTAAACAGACACGAAATACCATACACAGACGTATATTCGAAAGGCTTAATGATCAATTCAAATACAAGAACAACAATTATAAAAATAACTCCAATAACATTGCTTATTATTTACAACAAAAACAACTATAATAATGAAAGCAATAATAACAGCAATAAAATTTTTCATACAAATACTAAAAATTCATCATCATTCATACAAGCGTACACATCTATGTATATAACATAAGTATATCAATGCACGTTAACATGTATGTTAACGTTAAATGTACGAATACTTTTCTCACCTTGAGTATTAAGAGTTGCGTTTTTAGGTATTTTTTGTATGTAAACAAATATGAAATTACAGTGATTTTAATATACAACAATTAAATAAAGTATGTGTGTAAGATTGTTTAAATATTTTTGTGGCATGAGCCAAAAATATGTTGGAAAATTTCACTCGATCGAACGATCGATCGAATCTATAAAAATTCACGAAAGAATTTTATTTCATTTTGTTTTTTTATATTATTTTTGTTTTTTTTTTTTGTTTTTTGCATAAACAAATCATTAAAATTTTGAACAAATTTAAGTGTATTGATTATTGAATATAAACAATATGTTTTTGGCAAAAATCTTATTTTAATACAAAGTGCTTATTAAGATTATATAGATCTTTATATACAGATTTTTACATATAAATTTTTATATATAGATTTTTACATATAGATCTTTATATATAGATCTTTACATATAGATTCTTACACATTCTTAATCTATTGTACTACTAGTGTTAGTTTAGGTAAGGTGCAAGTAGCGGCATTTTGTTTAAAGCCCACTTGAACTAATTTATTACCCATTGTGATGCCACAAAATGCGTTGTTCATATGCAGATCAGAAGGATTCTTGAAAAGACCGCAGTGGTCCGCATATGAAAAACGCTAAACATAACTACCACTGTAATGTTCAGTAATGCAATCTACACTGATTTAAGTATTGCAAACATATCTACTGTTTAAAAGCATTAAACTAATTCAAACACATTAAATGACATCAAACTGATTAAAAAAGAGTAAACTAGTAAACTGCATTAAATGAGTTTAAATGCTTTAAACTAATTTTATCCTATTAAAATATTTTAAATATATTAAACTATTTTAATCGAATTAAACTAGCTTAAACATATAAATCTATTGTAAATGTATTAAGCTAGTTAAAACACATTAAAATATTTTAGATATATTCAACTAAATTAATGTGGCTAACTTCCAGTACCAATATCTGAAATTTGTCATGTTTTTCCCATAATTTCCCATAAATATGAACTTATAGCATCCATTGAAAAATGTGTGTCAATAATCCAACAACCTATAAGGTATATTGAAGTTTTACTTATGTTGAAAATCAAATCAGCTGTCAATTGTTAAAATAACGACCAGAAAAGAGTAGGGTATTCTGTGATTAGGACCATTAGATTGCCACACATCTAACGTATTTTTTCATTTTTAAAAATTATATATTATTAAATAAAAACATTTATTTTTACTTAACCATTATATAGAATTCAAGCCGTTTCATTAGCAATTTTGTTATATTATAAATTCTTCTCATTTAGATCTTCTATGATCTAGTATTATTTAAATGTAACCTCGTCATTCATATTTTTTCTTCTATATAGTCTATTTAGTAATGTCATTTATTTTAATATATTTTAAATGTATTTAAGGTATTTATCCAACAACTTGGTCCTTATCTCATAGAATTTAAGTGGTATTATTATTTATAACTATTATCAAATATAACCACAAATATGATATCTTTATAATTATAACTTTTTTTCACTATTAGAAGAACGTCATATTGCTACTATTTTAGCTTGTATGCCACAACAGCAACATGTGGGTTAACATTCTTAGCTTAACATCTCTGATTTTTGTGCGTAGTTAACAGCACAATAGTCGCAACTTCAGAGGCGTTTTCACTTTAAAGTGAATTTTATTTTTAAAAACTTCAAAGAAAGGAATTTAAAATTAAACTAAAAATATTTTAAATATTTTTATACCGTTTTTATTATAGTCATAAATTTTAAATAATGGAAACAAATTTCAAAAAAAAAAATTTTAATATTTGTGCAAAATTTTCACAGATATTCACGTACTGATTGCTCTCATTGCTGTCGTTAAAACCTTCAACTGCCAATTCTTGAGATGAGCACTAATATTCTATTTGTATATTTAAAGCACATCATATTGTTTATATCTTAATACATATATATGTCTATATATAAATGGAAAAGAAATAATTTCCTACAACATCCATCTATTACATATGTATCTCAAGGTATTTTTTAATTACTCATTAAAGTAGAAGACGTGTGAATTTTATTCAACGTTAGCCTATTTAAAATTGGTAACTCAACTTACTACCTATCGGCAATAGTAAAATTAATGATTTGTCAATAAAACAAAATACATGGCAGAAGTAGAAAAAAAAATTGGATTTTTGCATATTAAGTTTTGCATATTTAAATAAATTATTAAGACAAAATGTATTGTTAATCAAATCAAATAACAAAAACGATTGTTAAAAAAGTTGGTATATTGTACGATTGGCGCCAAAGCTGACGCGACATTTTGTCTTTATTTGCTTGACTACATAGTCATATATACCTGTACTCATATATTATATATATAGTATATACAATAGGCGTACATATATTTTTTACATTATTAAATCATTTAATTTAATTTCAAATGGCGAAATTAATAATAATTTGAATTCAACTGTGTAATAAAACAAATTAATGAAGATGGAAATATTCAATAATACGGCAGGTACATGCATCAGACATGAGCAGAAACTGTTCAAAAAATAAGTTTAAAATTTTATTTTACATTAATGGCTTTTTTTATATTACACAAAAAAATTTTATAATTATTGTATTATACTTTAATAAAATTTATTAAGGATATGCTGTTAGGCCTACCAGTTTCATATGCTATTTAATTTATAGTTTTCATTGTTATGCTGTTCCTAACATTATGTTACATATGTCATAATGTAGTTCTCTTCAATATATTATGTGGATTAATGAATTCGTAGTTTATAATACACATAGCATGATATTCATCCTCAAGACTAAACCTTTTTCAAGAATTGTCTGAACTTCTTAATGTATATACTTATTATATTATATTATATATATTATATTTATTCACTAAGTGAAATTACTATTACTAATGTAAATTATCACGTATTTATATATTTTATAAGAACCTATGTTATAAAGTTTTATAACTTATATTAATCTATATATAAATTCTAATCCTTTATTTCGACCTTTATTTAATTTCAGAAGGCGATCAATTAGCAGCAGTAAACGTTTTCGGTTTTTACAAAATTTTCTCTACACATAATAACAACCATCGAAAATCTACTTAAATTTGCATAAAAAAAGGATGACGGAAACTGATGGTCCCCGGGTAATGTACCGAGGGCATTAGGGTTTCTTTCAAATAGTTTTTAAACACTACATGGATCGCAGAAATGGCGGCGATCCCTTGGCGCCTCCCCGGCCCCCTAAGTTATTACCTCGTGTGCATCGTCCAAGGGCTCCAGAGCCAACGACGATGAGTGAAACAGTTGCTACGCAAACAACTCCTGCAAGAACAACAATTGCAACAAATACGGATACAACAACAATTACGGCAACAACAAGCACAGCAATACCACAATGTACAAATTGTAATCAACAAAGTTTAAGTAGAAACAATAATACGACTCAACAACAGCAACAGCAACAGCTACAGCAGCAACAACAACAACAACAACAAAATCATAGTATTACAACACCTACAACAACAAGAGCAAACACGGCGTCGTTAACAGCCAACAACAATTTCAGTAGTAGTCATAGTAATAGTAGTGGCATTAGCAATCATTTTGGCGTCAGTAGCAGCAACAGCAGCAGTAACAACAACAACAATAACAATGTTGCTGTGATAACGACGCAACCAGAATTTGACGATTATCAAATTCATCACTTGACATTTCTGCCTCAACGTCCTAGCAGTCTTAGTCGAAATAGCAGTCACGTGAGCACTAACTCATCATCATCATCATCTATAACGGCTGCGAATAGTTTTACACGCAGACGACCACCACCACCAACACCAGGCGCTGCTGTACCGTTATTATCACTAACAGGTAACAGTAGCGGTGGCAGTAACAGCAGTAGCACGAATTTAAATAGTTTTCTCAGTCATTTCCATTCGAACGCAGAACCCACTTCTCCAGTCACACTGGCGCAACCGCGACCGGAGTCTGAACGACTCACCAATGAGTATGTGGATACGCCACTGCGTACGGCACAACAGCTGCAATTACAACATGCAACACGCATACAACATCCAGCTGGTCAACATGATAATGGCCAGACAACAACGCATCATTTGTTGTTGCTGCCACAGCGTGAATTGCGGCAACAGCATCAGCAACATCAGCAGCAACAACAGCAACAACAACAACATTCGAACCGTTTGGCAGGAACTGCAGGTACAGGAAATGCCACAACGGGCACAGATGGTACGGACGGCTTCATACATTCGCACAACAACACTAAACTGTCGACGACAACGACAGCGCAGACGGCGCGGAAGGTTACGCCAACTCCTACACCAGCACGCGGCTTTGCCACACCCGGCATACAACCGATAACACAACCAATTACAAAACAACCCGCCTCTACACAAGGAAATAGTTCTTGCAAATTTGCAAAAGACTTACCAGCGCTGGATGAGCTGCTCGATCTTCATAATATAGCAACGGGCATATCTACACCGCAAGGCATGGTGTCTGCAGTAAATGGCGCAAGTCCACTTGGTACACCCATCATAATTGGTGGGGATCCGGCATCGCTTAATCCGATCACATGCCCGCGTTGTGAACGCTGTCGTTGCGAGCAGTGTCAGAGTCCACGTCCATTACCACAGACGTGGGTCTGCAATAAAACCTGCCTGTGCAGTGCTGAATCCATAATCGATTATGCATCCTGCTTATGTTGCGCCAAAGCACTTTTCTATCATTGCGCACGTGACAATGACATGGATTGCGATGATGGTTCCGGCACACCATGTGTTGATAACCCATGTTCATGTGGTCCTTATAAACGCACGCAACGCTGGGGCTGGTTAGGCGCATTGTCACTGGTACTACCATGTTTATGGTGTTATTGGCCTATGCGTGGTTGTGTGACACTTTGCGAAAAATGCTATGGAAGATACGCTGGACGAGGTTGCCGCTGTCAACAGATTGGTTCCACATCGAGCATGTTACCGATAGTACCACTAGGCATTAACAGCAACAATATAGGTAACGGGCAAAATGCTAACTCATCGACGCAGGGAAACACAACAAAATCTGTGAATTCTGGTAGTCATCATCACTGCAGCACAGCAAGTCGTATACTACGTAAGGGTGATCTGACACCTGAAAAACGCTTACTTGATTCAAGTCCAGAATACTAAATGCGTGTTGTTAGAGTATCATATGAATACAAAGAGATCGAAAGAGTTGAGAAGAGCGTCGCAGCGAGTTGAACTGAAATAGAATGGATTGTGGCTGTAATTCTCTTCAGCGAAATGTTAACAAAAATTGGAAGATAAAAAAATTGCAGAACGTGAAAAAGTTCTCCATGTAAATGCATTTAATGTGTGTAATAAGTTTTTGTGTAACATTACTTTAGAGAAAATAAAAACAGTAAAAATTGATTTATTATTTTAAAAATAATAATCGAAAATATTAGCATTTTTAATGAAATTAAAGTGACCCTAAACAGTTCTACAAGAATCTATTTAGGCGTTACTGATTTGAAAAAAGATTCTTTGCTACATTTTGTTAACATTTTTTTTAATTATTAAATTGTTTTAACAAAAAAGGCAGCAAAAACAGTTTACAACAAACACTTAACAGTCACAGTCCATTAAAAAAAAATTGTAAAAACGAACAATGAAAATATAACATAAAAATGGTATATATATATAATATGAACCTTAATATATATTTTATTATAAAGTGAAAAATAAATGTTTTGTTTTGTGAGAACATTTTGAATAAAACAATTAAAAACAAAGAAAGAAGAAACAATTATGTATGAATTAAAAATTTTAATAACCAAAGACTGCAAACAGATAATTATTAATTATTAGAAACGTTTTTTATGAATAAAAAAAAATTATTTTCTTTTTTTAGTTATAGTTAATTGATTGTATTTTTGTTTTCTTAATATTTTCATTTTTGTAATAATTTTTTAGTTTTACAGATTGTTTGGAATATTTTATTTCATATTTTTAATTTAAGTTTTTACATATATATTTCTGTATTTTATTTTTTAATGCAATTATTGATTGATATTTAATTTTGGTTTTATTTTTTTTCTAATATGTATCTTTGTTTCTAACAATATTTTAATTTTTATTTGTATTTTGATTTTTTATATTTAATTTATAATATATAGTTTTTTATAAATTATATTCTTGGTACCTTCTTTGAATAATATGTTTATTACATTTTTTTTTTATAGCTTAACAGTACATAAATATTTTACTTATATATTCCAATATTTTTGTTTAAAGTTTTTATGTTATTTTTCATTTAATTTATTTTAGAGTTTTTGAAATTATTTCTGTTTTTATTTAAACACATTTTTATTTGTAAACATATTTTGCATTATTATGTATACATGAATTTGATATTTATTTATATAGAATTATAACCGCTGTAGTTCGTGTCAGCTATAATCATGTTAAGCTACAACATGCACATGTTAACTTAACATTTTACTGTTAAAAACTTATATTGCGAGAAGAAGGTCTACAGTTGTATATAATTATATTTATATACATATCAAATTTATATATACTTTAATGTTAAAAATTTGTAAAGTTTGTTTTTTATTGTTAAAAAATATTATATATTTTCATTTTCTTTAGATTTGTTTTTTAATTTTTATAACTTTTTTGTTCATTATCTAAGTCAAGTTTAAATGTTAAATATTATATATATAGAAGAGTTAATTAACAATTATGTTGATATTTAATTATTTACATTATGCGTAATTCCAATAATTTTTCCATTACAACAAAACATTATTTAAATTAAATTTAAAGAAAAAATAGAATTATTAATTTTTGTGTAAAAAGATTTCGCTTTTATATTTTACAAGAAACATTTTATACAATTAAAGCGAATATAACAAGAAACTGACATTTTGCAAAGTTTAATTATAACAGGGACATTCACAGACTGTGTTAAACAACCATTAAGTAAAAGCAATAGAAGTGAGACAGTAAGCCTAGAACAAGTTTTCATATGAGAGTAGTCATTTCTTATAAAAATTTTTGGCTAGAAAAGTTTGTAGCATTGGTAACCGATTTAAATATATATATATATGTATATCTGAAACTGAACATTACTTGAATAAAAATATTCGAAAACTTTAAATTGCAGTCCATTTTCGCGCTTATTTGGCGCATATAGTTACATTTTATAATATATATATATACATATATATACATACATATATACACACATATGTATGTGTAAGTGTATAGTTATATATATTATAATTTTATTAGATTTTAATAGAAATTTATATATATAATAATAAAGTAGCTAAAATATTGTATTGTGTACCTTGTTTTTGTAAAATGCTAGCAAACCTACTAAATGTTTATAAAACTAAAAATTACGAATTTAGTAAAATTAAATATAAAAATAATTATATATGATGTAAAACATGTAGTTTCCAAATAGCAAATGTCTCCTTCTTCTTCTTCAACAACAAAAAAAAAAAACAAAAATTCCTTTTAAATGTCAGTTAAATGAAGTAATAAATAGCAAAATAAAATTGAAAATAATTTAATTTACAGTAAACAAAACTTTTTTTACTAAACCATATAAAATTTAATTAAAATAACAATTAATAGTAAAATTAAAAATCATAAAATTTCATACAATGTATTTTATATAGCTGACTTTTTTTTATATATTTACATATGTAAAAATCAAATAATTAACCCTTTTTAAAAACTGTAAATACTATTTTTACAAAAAATATAAAAATAAAAATCAATCGCATATTTCAAATATATAAAATTTAACATAAATTAATATATATACATATTGTAAATTATGCAAGAAAACAATTTATAAAAAAGAGGAAAATTGCAAAGATTTTTAAAAATTAATTCACTTATAACAAAATTAAATATTTAACTATTATTTTAGTAACTAACAAAGAAATGCGAAAAAGAGAAAGAATGTATTAGCGACAAAATTTACTACTAAAAACAACAAAAAATCAAAGTGTGTATCAATGTATATGTATATATATATATAATATAAATATTTTATTAGTAACACTAAAAACAAAAACTAAATTAATATTTAAGTTAAAATTTATGTTAATACAAAACTTTATATTAAATTATATGTATATGTAAAAGCCAAGTTAGTTTATAAGCCTTATTTTAAAGAAAGATATAAAAATTAAATTAATATAAAACTAAGTAAAAACAAAACAAACTAAACAACTTTAATTTTTAAACTAAAACAAAAATAAATTATAATTATATAATATGTAATTATAAAAATAAATAATATTAAAGAAAAAAAAAATTAAAAAACAAAAAAGAAATATTTATTTTATTTTTATTGTGTATATTTTATTTTTATTAAATTTTATGTAATGTTTTTAGTTTGTATTTTTCGTTAATATATATAAAAATTAATATAAAAATAATAAACAAAAAATTAAAAATGAATATAAAAAACAATTAAAAATAAAAAATACTACTTTATTGTAAAACAAAACCAATGATTTTTTTATTTCTTTCAGTTAGTATATATATATAGTTTTTCTTAATTTGTTTTTTCATACCAAAATTTTTTTTTTATTTATTATATGAAATCCATTTGAAATTACAAGATATTTTTAAATAAAAAATAAATAAAAATTAAGTTTTATTTGTAACTAAAAGACACCAAAATTATAAGAAAACATTTTTTATAATATTTATACATGTGAGAAATTAGTATGTGCATTATAAGTGTTAAGGCCTCCACGTAGATTTGCAGTAAAACAAATCTGAGAACTAAGAAAATCTGAGAATTAAAATACTCGTAAGAATAAGAAATTCATTTGATATATATGTATATATATATATATATATTATATATATATATATATATATATATGTATATAGTTTTAAAATAGAAAATAATATAAAGCTGAGGTCTTTAATTGTCTATAATTATCACTGTGGCTCTGTGGTGATTAAAAATTCGTTTAACTTGAGTTGAATAAATTTTAATGTAGAAAGATTTTCTAAGAATGCAATTTTCTGACATAATTAAAAAAAATATATATTTTTGTTAAATAATTTGATTTAATAAAAATTATATTTTAAATTTTTTATTTAATATTTCCGATAAGTTCTCAACTTGATTTAAATATTCTCGTCTCTAGACCCAAAATTTTTTTTTGTAAATCTTTGATTGACAAAACAATGTTACTGATTTAATAATTAGTTAATTTTATAATTAGATTAGATTATGCTGGCAGGCCATAAAGGCCACGCGTAGACCACTAGGGTCCATTGCGATACCAGATCAGAGTCTTGTTTTAGCGATTGTAAGCATCACTTAAGATGCGCGTTTCATTAGCAAAATTTATTAAGATTCCAACAGAAACCTCAGGTATGTACTCCAGTCCTGCAAAACTGAAAGCTCCCAAGTATTTTTGTCGAGTTCTCGAGAGAGCCGGGCAATTACACATCAGATGCTCTAGAGTTTCCTTTGCATCCGGCTCATTGCATTTTCTGCAAGCATCGTTGTGAATTAGGTTTAGTTTTCTGGCATGTGATGCAACCAAACAGTGACCTGTCAACACACCAATTAATGTTCTACAGTTCCTTCGGTTTAACGATATAACATTCTTGGTGTATTTTTCTTCATATATGTGCCTACACATAATTCTAGCTGTTCTACAGGTGGTTAAGTTCCGCCACCTTTCCTTTGCTCTCCTTATCATGTGCTCGTCCAGAAGTTTATGTATTTGTTTCAGAGGTCTAAGTACTTCGCTCGTTTGTTCCTCTGAAAGTTTTGCGCCATTTTTAGCAATAGCATCAACTGTCTCATTTCCCTCTATGCCTTTATGACCAGGAATCCAGTACATACAAAGTCTGCGGTTGCAGGCTAGTCTTGTTATAGCTTCCTTGCATTCTAGAACATTTTTGGATGATGACCAGTAAGATTTGATCGCCTTAATGGCTGCTTGGCTATCCACATAGAAATTTATGCAGTAGTTTCTGGTTTCATTCCTACACACAAGCTCCGCCGCTTTTTTAACAGCAAACACTTCTGCTTGGAATACACTGCAGTAGTTGGGAAGTTTAAACGGCATTCTTATGCTCAATTCCGCACAATATATGCCAGCTCCTACTCCCACTTCCATCTTTGAACCGTCTGTGAAAACATTTATGGTGTTGCATTTTGGCACCATGCCTTTTTTCCATCCTTCGTTTTCGATCACAGTTTTTATTGTTGCTCCGGGGTACATGACCGGAATCATATAATCCGAATCAAGAGTGGCGTTCTGATTTACAACGTTATGCCCGAAAGATCTTCGAGTAAGTTGCCCAGTAATGCGTAGCCGTTCGGCCGTTTTTGCCGCCATATTCTCGGCAAAGATATCAATT